GTGATAGAGGGGCTGAATAGTGAAGGTGTTCGAGACACTCCTGATTTGTGCTTTGTAAATGGTGGATAGACCATTAGGAGTCAGGAGGCAAATTGCTCGTAGCTTCTAAGCAGGTCCAGTAGCCACAGTATTTATATGGTTCAACCAGTTCAGTTTCTGATCAATGCTAACACCCAGGATGTTGATAATTGAGGATTCAATGATGGTAATGCCACTGCATGTCAAGGGGCGATAATTAGATTCTTTGTTTGAGATGTTTAATCTAAGACTGAGTGTGTGCAATTGTTGGGTAACAAAAGTATAAATGTTTAAATCGGATAGTGTATAATTGGCATTAAACTAAAATGTACAGTTTAAATATTGTAGTTCCCATCCTTAAGTGAGTTTCTTCATTGAAAGAGCAGCTGAAATTGGATCTTCATTCATTGACTTCGACAAACTTTTGGGGTTGGGAGCCCATATAAATAAACAACTTCAGGAGTGACTTTCCACTTGAGTGTGACTTAGAATACAGACTTTGAATTGCGCACCTTAGGAGCTAAGCAGAGGAAGAAGAGAAGAGTTTGGTTACTTTTGCAGAAAGAAGGCAGCTGAGTGGTGAGGATTTCAAGTTTTTGATTTAAAAGTAAGGCCTTTAGTTTGTGCTTAGGGCTAGTGATGACTTCGGAGGACCTTCAGCCCCTGCAACTGTCCAACAGTTACAATGTTCTTGTAAGCTGTGTGGATGATAGTGGGGACTGTAGCGATGACGAACAAACTGACTACGGTACTGTCTTCAAGGAAGCCATTCAATTGCGGAGGAGGAACTAGAAATGTGGTGAAATGAAGCCTCTGACAAAAGGTCAGTGTATTTGAAACATTAACTGTTTTCTCTCCAGAGATAGTGCCAGACCTGCTGAGTTTCTCCAGCAAATTTATGTTTTTGTTGTAAACTTGAAGCATCGGCAGATCTTTGTTTTATTTTAATGTTATCCCACCGATGCTAAATACGGCCTTCTCCCACAGGAATGAGGACGACTCCAGTTGTTGCCACACACACAAAAACCTTAGACAGATTGCTATCAATGAAATTAATAGGACTAGAAAGGATGTTCTGTTGAAAGAATTTGAACAATTTGGACCTTAAGTGAAAAACAGAATGTCCAAGGTAATACCTTCGGGATTACAACCTGAGCCATGGGCAAATCGACACAGAGTAAATAAAGTCAAGGAGTTAAATGCAGTTAAAGATTAACATAGAAAGAATGGGTTTCAGTTTATGGGCCATCAGCATCAGTACTGGAGTACGGTGCTATTCCTGTCAGATGGGCCTCACTTGAATAATTTGCACATCAATGCCCTGGTGAATCAAATAACCAGGGCTGTAGAGAGGGTTTTAAAGTAAGTGGGGGCAGGGTGGCAACAAAGTGGGATGGAACTATGACAGGGAATAAGGAGTATATGAAGCAAAAGGATATGGCGCTTTGCAGAATAATTAACGATAGCCTCAGTGCGACAAGAAGAGACAGTGTACAAATATTTTTTAAAAATCAGCAAATTGGGTCATTGAGGGAAAATATGATTAAAAAGGCAAAATTAGTGCTCTTTACAAAAATTCACAGAATATTTGGAATAACAAATTAATTGAAAGCACAAACAGGAGTTTTATGGAGTTGATCTTATAGACAACATGGAGACATGGTTACAAGGTGATCAAAGCTGAAAGCTAAATTTGGTGGTATATGTGACTTTTCAAAGAGAATAAATGATGGGGTATCTTGGTTACTACAAGATGGAATATGTACAGTAGCAAGAAATTATCTTGGATCAAAAGATGTACAATCCATATTAGGTGAGGTAAGAAATAACCAGGACACTGTGGGATAGTCCATAGGCCCCTTAACAGCAGCTATTCTGTAGGAATAGCTATGTAGGGCAGAGAATAAATCAGTAGATAATGAAGCCATGAAAGAAATGCAGTACACTAATTATGGGTGATTGTAATCTTTATGTAGATTGGGAACATCAAATTTACAGCAGTGGTCACAAAAACAAATTTATAGAGCTTATTTAGGACAGTTTCCTAGAACTATATGTTGTAGATCCAAAAGGGAAAGGCTATTTTAAATCTGGAGATGTACATATTCCAGCGAGGAAGAATAATTCTAGGAAGGAGATAAACCAAACATGGTTAACCAAGTAAGTTAAGAATACCATCAAATTGAAAGAAATGTCATACAATATAGAAAAGATTGGTGGCAAGCCAGAGGACTAGGAAAGTTTTAAAACAAAAAAAGATGAGCAAAAAATTAATAAAGAGGGCGAAATAAAACTATGAGGGTACACTTGCAAGTAATATCAAGCTGGCCAGCAAAGAGCTTCTTTAAATATACAGAAAGGAAGACAGGCCGAAGTGAACATAGGCCCCTTCAAGAATGAGGCTGGGGAAATAATAATGTGGAATCATAAAATGGCACAGCTGTTGAATAAATAATTTGCATCAGTCTTCCAAGTAAAAGACACTAATGGCATTCCAAGAATACTAAATCAAGGGAAAAGTGAGGGTGATATCCCTCAGTCACAGCCTGTTAATGTGAGAATGACCCATTTATTGCTAATCCCTGTTTTCTGCCCATTAGTCAATCCTTAATCCGTACCAGTACTTTACCCCCAATTTCTTTAACTGTACTAACCAAATTGCCAAACTCCTTTTTCACAGCCTTTTCACTATTTACACATTGATAGAAGAAGTTTTCATTTTCTTTTATGTTACTTGTTTCTCGAATTCCTCTCTGAACCTTACATATTCAACTTGTGTTCTGAAGAAGGTTCACTGGGCCCAAAACGTTAACTCTGATTCCTCTCCACAGGTGTTGCCAGACCTGCTGAGCTTTTCCAGCAATTTCTGTTTTTGTTTCTGATTTCTAGCATCCACAGTTCTTTCTTTTTTTTTATATTCAGCCTGATACCTAGCATAAGAACACTCATGTTTTATCATAAGCCCCCTCTCTTCCAACATCCAGGGAGTTCTCAATTTGTTTACCTCACCTTTCCTCTTTGTGGAAATATATCACAACTGTATCTGAACTATCGCTTCTTTAAAGGCAGTCCTTTATTCAATTCTAATCTTCTGCTAATCTTCAGGCCAGATCCATTCTGCCTGTTGAGGTTGGCTTTCTCCCAATTAATTATTTTTATTGTGATTGTTTCCTGTCCTGTTCCATATCCAAACTAATGCTTATGGCACAGTGACTATTGTGGCTTAAGTGCTACTCTCATGACATGATCGACATTGCCCTCCTCATTCCCAAGAAGTAGGTACGCCAATACCTTCTTTCTTACTGGATAGTAAAAACATTCCTGTAGAAAATTCTCTAAGAAATCTTTCTATTTACACTATTGCTATCTCTGTCTGTCATTAGATAGATAATTGAAGTCCTCCATTATTCGCTACAACTCCATAATTCTTGCATATTTCAGTCTTGGTCACAGCATGTTTATCCACAAAAGCAACCAACCAGCAGCTGACATTACAAGAGGAGTTTCCTGTGACCACGGCCCAGTTAAGAAATATGCTCCGTGCAGGGAGCACAATTCAATTTTACAGAAATTTTATGTATTGCCTTCATCCTCTCCATGACATGCCATTTTTGAGTTTGCCTGCTTGAGCAGCTAAAAGCATAGTATGCTTGATTTATGTGCTTGGCCTATACCTGGCAGCCTAGCATTATCATATTTCAGGTTCATTGTGAATTATTGATGCTTTAAACTCATGAAAACTGAAACATGAACAACATAATTAGGATAGATACTTAAATAATCAAGATGTTTCAAGCTGTCTGTATTCATATACAGTGAAACCTGGTCAACATCTAGGCTTGGGTTGATAAGTGGAAAATAATGTGCACACAAAGTAAGTGGTGGGTGATGGCAATCTGCAACAAGGAAGAATCTAACCATTTCGGATTGACGTTTAGTGGCATTACCATTGCTGAAGGCTACACCAGCAACATCTTGATGCTTGTCACTGACCAAAAACTGATTTACAACAGCCATTTAAATACTGCAGCTACATGAGCAGATCAGAGGATATGAATTCTGCAGCAAATAATTCACCTTTTATCTCTCCAAAGCCTGTCTACAATTTGGCAGGTGCAAGGTCAGGAGTACGAAGGAATACTCTCTACTTCCCTGGATGAGTGTGGATCCAACAACACTCCAGAACAAAATAGTCTGTTTGATTGGCACTCTAATTTGCCACTTAAAACATTCACTGCCTTCGCCAGCAATGCACAGTGCCATCTACAAGATGCAGTAACTCATCTAGACTCCTTCAATAGCACCTTCCAAATGCTACAGCTGGAGCACCACCATATTCAAGTTTCACTCTAAGGCACACACCATTCCTGACTTGGAACTGAATTTCTTCATTGCCTCAGGAGCAAAATCCTGGAATTGTTTTTCTAAGAGCACTTATACATACCTATTTCCCCAATGCACTGTAGCCGTTTTACAAGGTAGCTCACCATTCCTTCAAGGGGACTGAGGGATGGGCAATGCAGGTCATTCCATGAACGAATATAAAACCTCCCACTGAGGCCAGATACTGTCCTTTAGTTACAAGAGGTCCAAGATATGCAGGAATCTCAGAAATGTGGGAAAAAACGGCGTAAGGGAGTAGATTCATGAATCACAGCAACGTGCATGTGGCACCACCAATTTGCAATGGCGTGATACAATTTTCACGAGCATGTTGATCAAATATGGCAGTAGACCTCGTGTGGAAAATGCAGAATGAAGAAACAATTGCAAAAAAAATCACAATGCACTGCACCAAACGTAAATAACTTGAGTAAAGAAGATATTAGGAAAGTGCCTGAATAAAGCAAACAAGCTTGGTCAGATGAAAGAACCAAAAAGCACCGCTAAAAACACAACAAAGAGGGCTTTAAAACTCAGTTTCATGCAACAATTTGTTTCTTGAAGTAGTATTGGTACTTGAGAAAATATTTCATAATTACCTGTAAAAATTCTGAAGAGGTCAAGAAAATGTAAGCATTTATAATCTGGAAACAAGTCTTTACATTTTCTGATCCAAGCTCTGCAAATAAAGAAAACAGAACATAAATTAGAAGCACAGGGAAGCACACCAAAACATTTTAGTTGATCTAACAACGGAGATATAGTCTTGAGTAACCAGCCAGCAATTCCAAAAGGGATTAAACAAATACACCCAAATCTACAACGCTCCCATGTTTAAGGAGGTGGTTTAATAACAGAAAAACTTAAGTGAAAAAAATGAATGAAATTCACAGCCAGATTTTCCAGTGAATGGCAAACTCACTCTAGCCTGTTTTTTTCACACAAGGGAGCTCTACATTTGAAAAGGAGATTCCAAACCGGGTTTCTTCAGAAATGCTGAGCCATACTTCCATTCTGACAGTTCTGTCATCGGGTAGTTTGTGGGGTGGTGTACTCAGTATGGGATCAGTTTAGTAGTTAGTCGGGATTGTTATGATTTTTAAAATTTTTAAAAATTTTTCCAATTTCCAGGTGTAGAGGAATTGCTTAGAGGAATGGTAGATTCCTTCAAAAATTCCTTCAGAAACTGCAACGATGGGGATTTTGCAGAATCCCCAAGAGCAATTCCTATCTATGTGGGAATAACGATTGTATGACCAATGGAAAATTTGCTGCCCAGTTACTGAAAGCAAAATAGCTGCAATAGCCATTCAATTATTTCCCTGATGACTCTGACATGATATGACCCCTAACAAAAAAGATGAAGGGAAAACTGAATCAAGAAAAACAAGTAGTTTTTAAAAGTGTAAATCTATCTCCAACAATAGTTAAAGGTGAGGGAATGAAACTTTATAATTAAGTTACCTCTTAGTGTTCATTGCTGACAGAAATTAAGAACTCTCACACATTAAAAAGTTACAGTAGAATGGATATGCTGCAACCTTTTTTGATGGGTTTACTGGATATCTAATATGTAAGTATGTAATTTTACAGCCTTTTTGGTATCTCCAAAAGTACAATTTTAGCAAAGGTTTTGGGGAGCTTGCAATTCCACAGTAATTTGCTGATGCCTGTGTTTTTACTTCAGCCTTCGAACGAATGTATGCATTTGCTACATAAGAAATTGTCTAAATTCTCAATTTGTGCAAACCAAATTTAGCCTAAAACAGATTGTCATTTGTAGTTGTCATTAAAGTATAATGTGCAGTTTAAAGTACTTGTGAACTTTGAGAAGGTTTACTTTTAAGGGAAGCATTGGAAGAGCAGCTTAATTATGAACTGACTGAAACAGCATCTCTGTTAATTGACTCACATGGGCCCTGAAGGTTGGAAGCATATATAAATAGCCAACATAATGTGATTTAGCATTTATGAATGCGAATTACAAGAGTGCTGGAGTTGTGTCTCAAGGTGTTAAGCAGAGGAAGAGAAGTGTTTGATTACTTTTGCTGAAACAAAGCAACTGATTGGTGAGTATTTCTTTAAAGTAAAAGAAAGGTCTTTAGTTTGTGCCTAAAGATAACGGTCTTCAATGACTGTTACTTCCGTGTTGATACCAGGATCCTGTATGTCCACCTCATTCTTCTATATGATCCTAAAACTTGGGACTATCATCTGAAGGACCTTGAGAAGTACCATCAATGCTGTTGGAGATGGATTCTCTACATTAGCTGGGAGTATAGGTATACTAACGCCAGCATCCTTGAAGAAGCTAACAGCTTCAGTGTCGAAGCCAGGATCATCCAAAACCAAGTCTGCTGTGCCAGCCACCTAGTTAGGATGTCTGATGAGGAACACCAGCTTTACAGAAGCTAAAACCTAAAAATGGGAGATTGTCCACTTAAATTTTGTGGTGAGGGTGTGATGATACATAATGTGGATTTTAAAAGAAGATCAGTGGCAATCAAAACCGAATGGATGCACCACACAGCATAAATTTAGCTTGGCCCAGAATCACCAGACGTTCAAGCTCTGGAACTACAATACCACTTTTTAATTTGTATATAGGATGCGGGTGTTGCTGGCTGAGCTGACATTGCTTCCCATCCTCAATCGGCCTTGAATTTAGTGACTTACTAGAGCCATTTCAGAAGGCAGTCAGAGTCATCCTCATTACTGTGGGTCTGGGTCATACCTATGCCAGACCAAGTCAGGATGGCAGATTGGCAGATTGAAATGTTTAAATTTCTAATAGGGCTGGATAACGAGATGCAAGGAGGATGGTTTCCCTGGCTGGAAAGTCTAGAATTAAGGGTATAGTCTCAGGATACGAGGGTAGACCAATTAGGACTGAGATGAGGAAATATTTCTTCAGTCGCGAACCTGTGGAATTGTCTTTCACACAGGCGGCTGTGGAGGTCAAGTCATTAAATATTTTTAAGAAAAGAAAGAAAGTGGAAATATGACATTTAAAGGTCCAGCCATGATCATATTAAAAAGTGGAGAACGCTCAAAAGGGTCAAGTGACTTCCTAGTTTCTATGACTATGCTTCCTTCTAAGAGGACATTAGTGAAGCAGAATTTTTTTTACGACAATCGACAATGGCTACTTGGTTGCCATTGGATGGGTTTTAATTCCAGAATTTTATTTGAATCAAATTTCACCATCGGTTCAGTGGGATTCAAACCCATACCCCGAGAACATTAGATGGGGTCTCTGGATTAGTAGTCTAGTCACATTACTACTGCTCCACTACCTCCCAATTATATGTACATAACTGCATCAAAATCAAAGTGGGAATGTAACTGCACTACAACACCATTGTAAATAGGAAAAATATTTTTTTCCACACATATTCATTAAATCATGCACTGTTAAAGTTGTATGTTGAAGGCAAGAACATCTGCTATATCCTGATTCACAGCTTTCTTTTTTCACAATACGAGGGATAACATATACACAAGACATGGTAAGCACCTTATTTTAGTAATGAAGAAAACTGAACAGGTATCACTGTTCAAGTCACTGTATCATGTGTTATTCATACTAAACACCTTTTTAGTATATAAACCCCTGGCTAAGAATTTGTGTTACTCTTCCTAACTAGACAGTGAGAAAACATGAAGATATCACAACTTCTTTTGAAACTCTACGGCTGGTGAGCCCTGTCAAAACAAGAACTAAAAAGACCCATCAACTGTTCAGTGATCTGAAAACAGTGGAATGCTCCAATGCTAGTTCCATGATTTCTTACAGCAGTATCATAGAAAACACATCAATCATCCTTACTAACAAAAACTAAACATGCCCTCCGCCATACTGAGATCTATGTAATTCTGATAAGGACATTTTGCTGTTAGAAATTAAAATAAAGATGTCCTCTATTAGTAAGTCATGTGGATATCCACTATTTTTAGTCTCCACTGTAGGAGATTTCTCTATTAATGTCAGATTATAGTAACATCAGTCAGGAGCTCCACTGAGTATCCTGTGGATAAACACTTGGCCAATTCAGACTAATTACTGGGAGATAGCAAGTCAGGAGAGGCAGTCTCCTTTAACTCACGTTCAGATTTTGAAAATTAATGTCTTCATGTCAAGTAAACAAGAGGAAATTAAACTAAACACAAAAAATGTCTTTGCTTCATGTAGAAAATAACTTGAAGAAGTCAATCCATTTTTATATATATGCAACTCAATTCCAGGGCTGGAAAATTGCATGATCATTGATTGGGTGTCAACTGAGAAATTTAGCATTTTACCATCTTCTAAGTACAGTCACGTAAATCAACATGCACTCACTTAGTAAATATAGAACATTTCCTCTCCTTACACACTCACCCAACCAGGAAATAATGTAAAGCCAATGTCTACCTTGCAAAAATAATTACAATATAATTGTTATCTGCAACCTGAATTTGAAACACAAGGAATTTTATTCTGTACACTCAATTTAACATTTAAAAAACATGAGTGGAAGTTCTAATGATAACTAATTACATTATTGCTTCTTAACCCATCTACATCCACTGTGCCTCCCTTGTGGAAGAGTGTTAATAAGCTGACCTGTGAAGATGGAATTTTACGTACTGTTGTTGGGAGCATCCAGAGTCTTACTTGAGAAAAGCTTTAATTATGGGGGAAAATCGACCTTCTTCAGACCGGACTGTCTGATCTAGTCATTCACAATACTTTAGGTATAAGATTGGAAAATATTCCTTAAGCCATCACTCTGAATTATGATGGAATTACGATTCACTCAGAAGGAAAAAGATGAAATATTTTGCATTTATATAATGCCTGTTATGAGCTCAGGTCATCTGGAGAGATTGAGAAAGTTTTTGAAGTAAAAACAGAAGTCAAACCATATCTGTTAAAGAAAATTTGACTTGACCTGCTCACCTTTGGACTTGTGGGAGGGAACTGGAGCACCTGGAAGAAACCCATGCGAACATGGGGTGGGTGGGGGGGGGGGGGGGGGGGGGGGGGGGGGGGGGGGGGGGGGGG